CTACAAGTGAGGTCTCACGAGAGCAGAGCAGAGGGGCAGGATCACCTCCTTTGACCTGCTGGTCACGCTGCTTTTGATGCAGCCCAGGATACGGTTGGTTTCTGGGCTCAAGTGCACACTGAAGCCTGCTCATGTCAAGCTTCTCATCAACCACCACCCCAAGTCGTTCTCCTCAGGCTGCTTTGAATCTCTTCTCTGCCCAGCCTGTAGCTGTGCCTGGGGTTGTGCTGACCCAGGTGTAGGACCTTGCACTTGGCTTGGTTAAACTTCATGAGGTTGGCATCAGCCACCTCACAGCGTGTCCGGGTCCCTCTGGATCCCATCCCTTCCCTCCAGCGTATCAACCGAGCCACACAGCTTGGGGTGGTCGGCAAACTTGCTGAGGGCGCACTCAATTCCACTGTTCATGTCACCGACAAAGATGTTGAACAACACAGGTCCCAACACCGATCCCTGAGGGACACCCCTCGTTACTGTAACTCATTACTTGTTCTCTGCATGCTTTTTATTCTTACTTTGACGTTTTATTTGTTGTTTCTCTGGGAGGTGATCTGAATGGTGTACTGGAAAGATTTAACTGGTGGCTGAATAGTGTCTGTGTTATGGCAGATGTGCATCACCTGCAACTAGAACATTCTCCTCTTCTTCTTTAAATCTGTCTTTACAAAAGCGGAGTTTTGGGCAGTGAAAGAAAATGTGACTTTAAACCAACACATCTGAAAAATATTATGGACAAGTATGACTGCTTGGCAGAATGAGTTGGAGGTATCAAAGATTAGTACATAAATGAAATGAATGATGCTGCATAAAGAAGGGTTTCCATGGTCGCACTGAAGGACGTTACTGGAGATAAGTGGATGACTTATTGGCCTCAATAAAATATGAACCAAGAATAATGAAAACACTGAAACTTGTGTTCTCATAGAGTAAGATGGAAGAGTTTTGTCAAAAACTACAATTAGGTGTCAAAACCATCCCCAAGCCATGGCTTTGTTGTGGAGTTTAAAGACGTCAAAGCAAGATGTCATTCAGAAATACACTGTGGTGCACTGGGGAAGCAGCTCAGCAGTTAATGGTAACAGCAGTCATTAAGACCCTTAGATGAAAGTGGCTTTATAAAGAGAAGTTGAATGAGTTGCTAAAGATAATTCTAGTCAAGAACTTCAATATTATGTAATTGTTGTAGTTTATTTCAAAATAGAAATATCAACAGATAAATGCAGATGTTTCCAAAAGCTGCACAGGAAACCAAAAGGGCTTTACAGCCAAGTCTAAAGAATGCAAAAGAGAAACCAAATCTGTGCAATGTTTGGATTATTTTCTCTCATGAAGAACAAAGTGGTACTGATAAAACTAATTACAGAAGAAAATTGAGAAAACTGGTTTGTATTGTTCAAACAAATACAAATCAGCTAAATCCCATTCCCTTAAAGCTCACTTGGGTAGACAGCAAGAAGCAGCACACAAGAAGCTGCCAAAGATGTCAATAGATTAGATCTCAAAGCAGGAGAAACATACTGATGATAGACTACTGATGAATGAAAGACGGCCAAAAACCACAGAATGAGGCAATTTCTGCTGCCTTTGAGTTTTGTGGAAGATAAATGGAAAGTGACTTAAATACCACAAACATGATGGAAGAAATGCAATTACAGATTCAATAGATTTTTCTTCATAGGTTTCTAACCCTCCCCACAGCTGTGACTCTGGCCGTTCTGCCTGCAGTGGGGCTGTGGCACTCAGGGAATTGTGACTCATTACTCTTCACGGTGCACTTACTTTGCCACAGATAATTCTAACCCCACAGATTTTAATCTTCAAAACTATGACGCATTAAAAATGATACCACCATCCATTCTCTATTTTCAGAGGTTCAGAGCTGAACTGCTGGAAGCCACCTCTGAAGGTGCAGCCTGAGCTGCCACTGACTGAGCTGGAAGTGTTCTTCGCAGCTTCCAGTGGGGACGTTCTACATCTCTTTCCAGGTATCCAATTGTGAACTATTATTAATTATTAAATATTCTACAGTTGGAAAGACTTCTTTTCCTCCCAAGAAAGTCTCTGCTTCTAATTCAGGCCTGTTATTTCTTAGCTTATACCCAAAGTTTACAGATAATAGTTCACTTTTATCTATTTGTATTTTTGTTTTGAAATAGTTTTAAAAATATTGTTACATCTCCTCCATCTTTTCTGGTTGTTCCACTTTTATTTCAGTCACATGTAAACTTAAGCATAGTTGTTGCATTCTTCTGAACACTACTCTAGTTGGGACAGTTTTCTTTTAAGTAAAGCACTGGAGTTACAAATCATCTTCAGGTAATGCTTTACCAGTGATGAGGCAGGGTGGGTTTCCACATTCTCCATACAAGCCTTCATCCCAAAAGTAAGCCTTTTTCATCACAGTGACCCTGACGACTCTTCTGCAGCTTGTGATCTGCTATAACCCCAGATCCTTCTCTGCAGACGTGCTACCTAGAAATTGCCTCCTAACACAACACATCCTAGGTTTGTAGAGCATTATCTGTCCAGATTATTTTTAATTCTAATCCTTTTCATCAACATTCGCAGCTCTACCCAGTTCATGCAACCTTTATAAAGCTCATTCTCTCTTCTGACATATACTTCATTACAGATTGAGTGTAATTTAAGCACCAGCTGCTTCTGTGCAAGTGATTTCATGTATGACCCTTTGAGCCCAGCTGTGAGGTAACTGCTCCAGCTTCCATTGTCACTTCGGACACTGCCCCAGCCATTCCGTGCTTACAGGGGGCAAAGTGACTGGTACTGCAGTTACTTCATGATTATGGAAACAAAGATGAGGCCCAAATAATGTGCCTGTAGGCTGAAAAACATCTTCATGGTGAGGTGAGAGTAGCTACCTGAGATGAGCAACGCTTTAATGTTATTTCAGGAGTTACTAAGCAATTTCCTTGAAACAGGAAATTCGAAGAAAGATCAGCCCTGCAATAGACAGCACAGACACAAATACCAGTGTCGTGGTTCAAGCCCAGCCGGCAACTTGGAACCACGCAGCCGCTCGCTCACTCCCCCCGCCCCTTCCTCCCCCCGCTCCCGCAGGGGTGGGGAGCCGCTCCCAGAGGGATGGGGAGGAGAATAAGAGGAATGTAACTCCCACGGGTCGAGATAACAGCTCTCCAGTAACTAAGGTATAATACAAACCACTACTGCTACCAATAATAATGATTAGAGGAATAACAAGGGAAAAGGACACAACTGCTCACCACCCGCCAACCGATACCCAGCCCGACCCGAGCAGCCATCTGGGCCTTCCGGGTAACTCCCCCCAGTTTCTATACTGGGCATGACGTGCTGTGGTATGGAATAGCCCTTTGGCCAGTTTGGGTCAGGTGTCCTGTCTCTGCTTCCTCCTGGCTTCCCCTCCTCTCTGGCAAAGCATGAGACTGAGAAAGTCCTTGGTCACAGTAAACATCACTGAGCAGCAACTAAAACCATCGGTGTTATCAGCATTGTTCCCAGGCTGAAAGTCAAAACCACAGCACTGCACCAGCTACTAAGAAGGAGAAAAAATGACTGCTGTAGCTGAACCCAGGACAACCAGCTACTTAGGTACAGGTTTGGGAATGTCTCCCTCAGTACTGGTTTAGCATGATTCATTACAGCAAAAAAAAAGTTACTGAGAATGTTTCTGTGGACATAGTGATAAGGTGTAACGCTCGAATTCATGGAGCAGTGTGAAACATACATCTGAGATCTGCAGTGGTCATCTGTGGACCTTGCCACTGAATTGCCTAAGAAGAAGTGAGCCAAATGCATCAATATTCTCATTAATACTATTGAAAACCTGGGCTTTAACCCAGCTGTCAGCACAGCTTTATGTGAGCAGTGTGCGGCTGAACATTCCAGACCAGGGAATTCTGAGGATTTTATTTTCTATTTTGCAACTAGAGGGAGCACATTAAGGCAGTGCAAGATACAAGTGTTCACACAACAGCAGTGAAGAATGGGAAGTAAACAGGAAGTGCAGGATACATTGGTGTCTTTTGGCTTGGTATTTGAGACAGCAAACCCTGTTTGGTCTTGTGCATTGCAGACAGTTATAACCCAGTTTTGCGCTGGCAGGACCAACACTGTTTAAATGGTCTGGTTTGGGCCGCATTTGTTTCTCTGTGTTGTCAGTCAGTTGCAAGGTGAAAGAGGCTTCAAAGGTCTGGACTTTATCTGGCTTATCCTGCAGGCAACACGAAGTGACAATGCTCACACAAATCAGTGAGTCCAATGGCATCTCATTTTTTGGCTATGTTTAACCCTAGAGATTAGTCCAGAACCAGTTCTTAAGATTTGATTTTCACCCTTTGTAAAACTTAGTTTCCCTTTTTACTTCCTCAACTTACTGCATTTGCGAAAGTGCCACTTAACTCCCAGTGTCCCAAGCACATAGCTAAACATCCCTGACCTGGTATTTAGCTATGTGCAAGTTCAAGCCTTATATGTAAGTATAAAAATTATTATTCTAACATGACATGCTGATTTTTGTCCACATCACCATGAAGTTACATTGCTGGCATTCCAGCTAAACAATTATAAACTGCCTCTGAACAACGTAAAATAATTTTCTTTCTAGGGAGGCTTTTCTTTTTTCCTTCACTTCGTTTGAAAACAAGAACACATTGGAAATAACAGGATTGCATCTCGTAGGATTCTATACTGAAACTTACTCCATACTGTTAGAAGTTCATAGCAACATCTTTTTTAGATGTTCCTTCCCACACTGCAGTAACAGAAAATAAAAATAATGAAAACAGGAAGCAATGGCCCTGTAATTCACTGTCTTGGATCAGCTGCCCTTCAGAAGAGCTCCATAAACATACTCTGGTCTGCTGTAGCTTCTCTCCACACACAAATAAACACACTTTACCGTAAGTCAGGAACATGCGCTCACTCCAAGTTTTTATTTAAAATTGAACACAGAAGTACCCAACCATTGTCTGGTCGAGAACCTAGACAGCTAGTATGGTTTTACAGAACTTCACAATCTCAATTAACCCTTCTGAGTGCACATTCATGCAAACATGAAGGTGAGTGAGCACCTTGTTACTCAGCCAACAACCACCATGTCCTCACCCAGGAACTGGTAAGTGGGAACTTCGAGGTTGTAGGGAGCGGGGCCTTTCCTGATTCTGCCAGAGGCATCATAGTGGGACCCATGGCAAGGGCAGTAATACCCGCCAAAATCCCCAGAGTTGGCAATGGGCACGCAACCGAGATGGGTGCAGACACCTACGAGTATGACCCATTCTGGCTTCTTAACTCTGTCTAAGTCATGCTGCGGATCCCTCAGGGTAGCCAGATCAACTTGAGCTTCCTGATCAATCTCTGCCTGGGTTCTGTGACGCACAAAAAGTGGCTTCCCTCTCCACTTGAAAGCCATGTTCTTGCCTTCCGGAATGTCAGATAACTTGATCTCAATCTTTGACAGGGCTAGCACATCAGCAGAGGCACTCAGGCTGGAAATAAACTGGGTGACAACATTCTTAGCAGCATAAGCAGTTGCAACACACGTTGTTGCTGTCAGCAGGTAGGAAAACCCCTTCCTAGATTCACTGCTGCTTTGAGAAGATGTGGTGGGATCTAGCACATCTTGGCGACGATAGGCAGAGAAGTCAGGTACTGCAACATCATTATGGACACAACGAACAGTGGCGGGTGCTGCAAGACAAAGAACATGGAATTACAAACCTTTCAGGTAAAAAATATGACAATGTATTTTGAGTTATAGCTTTTAAATTTCATTTATAGAATGGGTAGAAGCTATTCCAGCACCTGGGTATGATTTCACTAATGAAGTTGTAGGAAAATGGTTTCCAGAAGGTATTTTTGGAAGATGAACAGGTGATTTGTGAAACTGTTTTACCTATTTGAAAATTACACAGAGCCCGATAAGGACACAGACAAATCCAAGAGAAGTTCTGGGTTTAAAGGGAACCATTTTTTCAGAAGATTTCAAGGCAAAACTCCTGTAGGGTACTATGTCCAGACAAGACAGGCCTGTTTTCCATTCAGATGTTTCCCTGGAAAAAAACTGCTATGAAGAAATTTGCTTTAGCGAAGTTTACACATCTGTAGCTTAACATGTTGGTGCTTTGACTCAAGAAACTTCTGTACCATAAATCATCCAAAGCACAAAGCTAAGCACTTTAAAGTTCAAAAATACAGTATCAGACATCCTCCTTTTTACTGTGTTAGAACTAACTGCTCCAGTAAACAGTTTGTAAACCTTCAGAGCTCTATTTAGCAGGCTCACTTCATACAATGATTTAAGGATAAAGCTAATAACTATCCAACCCCTGAGGTTTTAAAGTGTCAAAGCTGGGTGCTAAACTAACAAGGTGTGATGGCCAAACCATGCAGTCTTCCCTTAGTTTCTGCAGCAGAAGAGAGCTGCTTCCCTCAAGGAAAATCTGTGAGCTAAAGATGGAATGTGTTATCTGCTTGCCCAGGTGAACCCAAGACACTGCTAATGTGCAACCTCTGTTGTTTGAAAAGAGCTAGTTAGTTTTTACTGTTTTCTAGCAGTAGGTACAAAGCTATCAAAGGTTAATAAAAACCATTCCCTCAAAGTACTTAAGTACTCTCAAGGATTTATATGCAATGGGGAAAATATTTACATTTATTTACAAGTAACTCAGCATAGAGAAGATATTTGCTGTAGGATTTCAACTGCAGAGAAATTAAACTGAAATTCAAAATCCTGAGAGTAAACCATACTAACTTATTTCAGTATCCAGGCTTAAAATGGTTTACATGTAGTAACAAGCAAAGTATTATTAACTTCTAAAAGTTCCCTATCTTCCATGAAAAGTGTGCTTGGCGTTAATAAAAACTAAGAGTAAGACTAAATGTCAGCAACATTAGCGATGGATTAGCAGAATCCTCAGCCTTGCAGGCAGGGCTAGGTGAGGTGCGCGCAGTGCCGATCGCTGCAGGCTGCGCCCAGCCCTGCGCACGAAGTGAACCCCAAGGACTCGGCACCTTCCCCGGGCTGGAGCTCCTCTGACGCCTGCCCCAGCGGGGGAAGA